GCCCGGGCCGGTGAACACTCCCTCACACTCACCTTATACACTCTCACTGAGGGAAGGTAAGCCTCCCCTCATCCACTTATCAAGCCCAGCCCAGTGGATGGAGTTGAACCTCGCCTCACACTAAACTCATATACCCGCAACAGAGGGGAGGGCACCTCCTCTCATCCTCACCCCTAAGAACAGCCTTTCCGGGGGCTCGGGTTTGAACCGACATCTTACCCTGACTTCATACCCAATCAATGGGGGAAGTTATCCCTCCTCTCCGTCTCACTTTAGATCCAAATCTGTGGGGAGCGTTTGACCTCCCATCTCCCTCACCTCGCGCCTTCGCACTGAGGGGAGTCGTCCCTCCCCTCTCCCTCACCTGATACACCCTCTTAGGCAAGTTATACCACACCTCACCTTCACATCGTCCCCACTTTTGAACCCCACCATGTTCACTCACTGGTCGCCAAAACCTTGAGGGTTGACAGATATGTTGAGTGTGTCAGTTTATCCCTTTTTTGCCGATAGTCACCCGTCCTCGCCGGCGTAGCTGTGTAGGTGCGCACAGAGAAATGGGACAAAAGTATGAGGTGGAGAGAATCGGTGCGGTGCGTGCAGTAAGGTGCGTGCCGAACCCGTGGGGTGCGATACAGTCAAATGCGGCGATGGTGGGCGCGGTGCTGGCGGGGGCCCGAAATCACGGTTGGTGCAGGGTGATGGTGGGTGGTGCGATAATCCGTTTGCGTTAGGGCGAGTATCGAGCCCGTGTGTGTGATTCTAATGTTGCACGCTTTCACAACTGCGATTGCGTCATGCTACGCGTGGCTAATAATCATTGTGCAATAGCGTTTTGTTGTACTTCAAGCCTCAGTGACATCTGAAAGTAGCCACAAGTGGGTGGTGTTCCCTAGAGTGGAACAGGAGTGCACGTGGTACCGTCGAGTGCGGTGCGAGTGGCTGCTAACGAATAGTAATTAGCGCGGGGAGGATTGAGTGCGGTGCTGGAAATTTATCGCCCCGGTGACTGCTGTGACGGTTGAGTACAACGCAGAGGAGGGTGGAGCAGGTCGAAGTGTTTCTAATGAACGTGGTCCAGCTGTATCAGGATGAGTGCGTCACATATGTGTGCTGTACGAGGGCCGTGCCTGTCAAGTGCGTGCAGCAATGTATGCAGGAGATATGTAGCGTCAGAAGTGAGTGGCAGTCATCCTGAATTTTCCGGTATCAATGAATGCATGTTGCCAACCCGTCGTAATCGTGACTTCCTGACACACCGTGACCAAACTGTGTGCATTGTCCGTCGTTTCAGTCACTGTGCCTTAGAATGCGCACCAGCAGAGACCATTTCCCACTCACTCGCTTAGAGCATGGTTCGTGGACTGTCCTTCGCGCGCGTTGTAACGTGACAAGTTCGTCGACCAACCCCGTCCCCCTTTCCGTTGGAGCGCGCCTTTGCACCCGGTAAGTGCAGTCAATTCTCCATCCGTGGATAGCGCACTCAGCGATTCGTATTCAGCTAGCTCTAATCAACTCAAATGAAGCGTTCTCTGAACTAACAGGGCGATGGATTGCTCGAAGCGTGGCGACGAGACGTGTGTCTATGACTCTTTGTCACTCCTATTCAGACACGTACTACAACACGACCTGAAACAATAGGTCTCTTGGGGGCATGATTTTCTGCCGCAGCCACTGTTGTAACATCCTGCTGGCGACTCGGTGCTCATGTACTAAGGCACGTATCTGTTGCGTACTCCTGTGTATAACCGCTACCTCCTTTCCGATTTCATAGAAACATAAAAAACTGTTGCAAACCCGGTAGTTTGCTCTCCACTGACGAAGCGCAGGAGTCTTGTTTGGTAGGTGACGGTTGTCGAATGCTCTTTTCCAGGTCGAGCTCGACAGTGTATGTCACATCGCGTGGAGTGGGTGAAGTGAGGAGGAATTTTGTATGCAGAACGGTGTCATGGTTGGTTGGATGTTGTTTGTCGTTTGTGTTTGTTCATGAGCCATGAGGTAGACTATTGTGGCTTGCGGTTCACTGTGCCACGTTGTACCTTCGCCACCTGTTCCTTCCAATTTCGACTTTCGTAAACCTTCGCTGAACCCTTTTCAAGTTCAGTAATCTTGAGCCCTTGCCATTCTAGGCGCCGGCTTTAAAACCCCCAACTGATTCGCGGAATTGAAACTGGAAACTGAAACGAAATTGAAACCTATCAGTGATTTTGTCTCATATTGAAACGTGAAACCGAAATGAGAAATTCAGACAACATATTCGCGAATTCATGCTCCGCGAATTCGATTTGCGAAATTGACTCTCTGCATGGGTGTTGCTCTCGGAAATACCTGAGCTCCCAGACGCGAGCCAATCTGAACAAAATCGCTCGTTCTCGCTGAAATCGCACAGAAAGCTAGATGGCGTTGGTGGTTGAAATGACATGTCGCCGCAACAAGCCTGCAACATGCAACCAGCAAGCAGTGTTCACGTTAGATGCTACAACTTAAGCACGTCCCATATAAGCCTCGAATACGCGAAGTATTCGAGAAAGAATATGCACTCAGATTTACCTTACTTTCCCGATTTGCCATTCCCGCGCCCTTGTTCTTCAATAATGCTCATCGCTTCTTTTGCCATAGTTTCCAGTGCAAATTTCACTTCATGACGCCAACGCCCGAATTTCTCGTCACGTAAACGAGGCTTCTACAAAAAGGCAAATCCTTTGAGTTTGTTTAGAAAAACAGTTTCGACAGCGGCTCGCCTTTCCGCAGTCGCAGCAGCTCTAAGAAAGCGAGCAGAAGAACCTGAGCGTGAGAAAATGAGAGCGAGAGGCGAAAGCGCTGTGAAATTCGAGGCTCAGGCGAGAATGAGGCGAGAGATGACGGTGACGCTGGAATGAGGCGGAGGGGTCACCAACTGCCTCTCCTCTCCTCTCCTCACAACAACACTCTTCAGATCTACCGTCCAGAATCACTGGATTGTCTGAAACTTTTTTGGTAACTCAAATCGCAACTGTTCGGACCTTTTGTGTTTTTTCGTCACGGCAACCCTAGCCAGTTCTCGTTGGTCTACAGTGACGAACAGTGACGGCGGCTGCGAATGGTTGGCCCGGTCAGGCTGAATGTTTGTCCAAGACAGGGAGAGTCGAGAGTCACTTAGGTGGCTGGTTGAGAATCATCCGAGTGGCACATCTATCTGCCGGTCAGGAGGAAACGAAAACTGCACGAGACGAACGACACCGACTGTTTTTCAGCAAGATTCCGTTGACAAAGGCGGGAGTCGCGGGATTTCGCTGGTGAACATTGGACCTCGTGACCTAGGAACCGTGGATTGTGGTCTGATCTGGAGTCGCAGAGTCGTCATGTCAGTTTGGAATGCGGCAAGCCCAATGGTTTGAATTCGCAGCTCTTGATCCAACCACTAGGAGCGAAGTGAATCCCAGCCGTGGATACAAAATCTAGGCAAGCAGCTGCGGTTGAGATCTGGAGGTTCAGCTGATCCACCCTCCGTCGCTGGCCTGCGGGTGGGAAAGGTTTGGGCAACATGGGCGAAGATGGCGAAAGGTCTCCGCTTCGCATATTTGTTGTTACTCGTCGTTGATTTGGCTGAGGAACTGATCTTCTGACACCTGCTGGCTCCTCTGATCAACCCATAAATATTTGAGATAACAAGAAGCGGTGCCGTGCATATACACCTAGAAATTGGGAGGAAAAAATAATATCAAATTGGAAAAAGTTTTTCAACCAACTTATGAATACAAGTCTGCCTGTCATCCTGATTCTCATATTTTTATTAAAAAATTCAAGAACCAGAAGTATTTTGGTGATGGATACGTGCAACATCATATTATATTGTGTGTTTGGTTGAGATCTTCAGTTTCTCTAATTAATAATATCCATGAATGAGAATACTGGTGGAACAGATATGGGAAACAGCCTTGACTGCGTTACAAGCCTAGCGTGTTTACCAGCAATCGCTCATATCGCGACCATCGCAGCCATCGCGGCCGTCCGATCTGTGTGTAGTGACAGTGCGAGCCTGTTTCGCGGTTCACCAGACCCTCACGAAACTCGCCTGGGAAACTGTGGAACCCGATTGGTCCATTTTTTAGAGTAACCGTTGGCGGAAATGGAGGGAAGGAAACCCAGGGAGCAGATTCGCTGAGCCAAGGGGAGGTGAAAGTAGGAAGCGGCAAGCTCTAGGCATCAGGGAATTGACAGGCACAGAGAAGATCAGCCATAGGCAGGCAAACAGATACAGTCAGAAGGCTTCGAGGAAGAGAACAAGCATTTGAGATTCATCAGTGTTGTGCTGTGTGCAGCAGGGAGTTACGGTTAGCTAGAACTAGGAGAGGAGATTCAACAGAGCAAGGCCAGTGATTCTTGAGCCTGCCTTTGATCAGGATTAAGCTGGCCTGATCAGTTCTCCCTATCGAATCAGGGTGCACAGACTTATATTTAAGAGTGGATAGGTCGGAATGGAAGAGGTAGCTGTTATTGCTGATGCGGCAGGACCTTCCAAATTCTCCCTCCTCCTCCCCTCTCACCAAGGGTTCATGATGATATTCCAAAACCGGCCGTTGATTGTTGCCTTTATCTCGCTCTGGGTCGCGCAATTCCTCAAGCCTTTTACATTATGGTGGGTATCGTCAGAGCATCTCTCTTCGCATTCACGTCGACTATCATCTAAAACCAAGTTTTTAGTTTCCTCGTTACTGCTACAACAAAAGGTTCACTTCGCCACGGCGCCTCATTCTATATCTCGATACACTGGCTCACTTATCCAATATGATTAGTTCGCGAATGCGTCAACCCGCGTTCGTTGCTGACGTTCCTACGCCAAGTGTGGATCAGCTCGTTTTCGTTCGTGGCTTTTGAGAAATCTGGTTATGACGTACACCCTATAGGATTGAGGCACAGTTTTTTTCCGCAAATCCGTCTACGCTCTCTACTCCATTTCAACCGTGAGCAGGCACTGGGAGAAGCGATGGGATTTCAAGCGAATCTTAGGATCCGGCGGCATGCCCTCATCGCATTCGTCGTCCGTCATGGGTCTGGCGTGCGCTGTGGCCTTCCAAGAAGGCACGGCGAGCCCGTTGTTCGCCGCGTGCCTCGTTTTCGCCGTCGTGGTATGTTGCCTGAAAACTTCCTTCTCTCCTGTTACTTTCACGTGCCGAGCGTCTCCATGACTGGTCATTCAAGCTTTTTGTTACCCCTTTGTTGGTACGGGAGCTTAGTGCGAAACGCTAGATCGTTTCAGGTCGAAATTGCTCGCTGACTGCCATTCTCGGATGTTTCTTCGCGCATTGCAGGTCATGTATGACGCCTCGGGGGTTCGGCTTCAGGCAGGCCGGCAGGCAGAGGTACGTGAAATTCCCACTGAATCCGGGCGAATCTAAACAGCTCGAGACAAGCAACAGTTTTTATGCGAAGCACATACAGTGGGAATTGTGAAGTATGGAAATGTTGTGGCTTTGACTGGGTCTTGTAAGGTCATGTTGCTGCTCATTTGATCCAGCAAGATCATTGCTTCCGTACGCACTGCAGTTGTCTGGGATGAGATGATGGTCATCCTACATCACGTCGGCCCTTTCACTTGGTGGTACCCATTCCACATTGTCTCACCCTCCCCCCATCTTACCCACGCAGTTGCTCATCCATGCTCAATCACCCATTCTGCTTTTTGCCCTCCCCACAGGTCCTAAACCAGATCGTATATGAGCTGCCACCAGACCATCCCTTGGCTGAGTCCCGGCCTCTCAAGGAGCCCATTGGACACACACAACCTCAGGTAGGCACTCGGTTACCACACTCTACCACAGCCATAAGTGCTGTTACCACACTCAGCCACAGGCGTGTGTGCAGTTTGCAGACTTCATCACAGGTATGACTGCAAAAAGGTACGCACATTAATTATCAAGGCTACAGACAAGTGATTGAATATCTACGAGAAATGGATATCAGGTATGAAGTACATAGCAATGCAAGCTAGTGGTATGTATATTGCATGGCACCAGCTGGTATGAAGCACACTAGAAAGCTCCAGGTACCCACACCACTACAGCTCACCAAATGCCCATACTGTTTGACCCTCTGGTTGCTGCGTTGTTACAAGCCATTGTATTTTCTACTACCTCTGTCATCTCTCGCACAATGATATATATTTTGCAGGTGGTGGCAGGAGCTCTTGTTGGGGTTTTTGTGGCGTACTTTATGCACCACTTCTATCCAACAGCCACTGCAGTAATGCACCCTTAAACTAGGAGTAGGTTGTGGTAGACCCACTTGCAGTGATTTTAGTTATTGTCGAACACTTTGTTCCAAACTGTAGAGCTCTTTATTCATCCAAGGTCCTGCAATGCCAACCTCTTGAGTTCTTCTACCGGTAGTACCACAAGGAGCTGCACCAGAGTCTCAACTCAATCCAGTGACCTTCAGAGCTGCACAGAGAGGAAATTGGAGAGCAAAAGGGGGAGAGGTAGCAAGCTCCAATATTGTCCAGGTCAAGAACTGGCTAAACTTCACGTAGGGAGAGTGGGAATTAAACCCACGCCCTTTCGGACTGGACCCTTAATCCAGCACCTTAGACCAGACTTTATTTACAATGTCCCTGTGTACATAATCTTATATACAATATGTACAATTGTTTCTAGAAAATGCCAAGAGAGCTACTAAAGAGATGTTTGAAGACAGGAACATGTGAACAACTCGGCCATCTCGACATGACAGCTTCAATGAAGTTTATGTATATATTCCTTTTTGTTTAATCCGTCGCTGTGCCTGATTCTAGCTCGCTCCTATTGTTTCGTTACAGTCGTCCCCGATGTGGAAGCGCTTGGCAGAAGCTGCATCTGCGGCATCGCGACGAGGTACGCCGCCACGCGCGCCTCACGACTCGCCGCTTTCCGCGCTTCGCATTCACACTGCTGTCCGCAGCAATTCCCGCAGAGAGCCCAGCTTGCCACATATCCCCCTTCATGCGTCCCAGTTCATCGCTCTCCACCCCTCTCCACCCCTGCCGTCCCCTGCCGGCACCCAGCGGTGGCATGGCGGATTGAGGAGCTGCAGCCGCCCAGCGAGCGCGTGCTGTTCCACTTCGCGAGGGCGGGCGCGCGGGGCGAGCAGGGCGGCACGCAGGGCTGCGCGCAGGGCGCGATGGACGCGTGGCGCGTGTATTCTGATGCCATCTACGGCGGTGAGACGGTGTGCGCCTAGGTGCTGCGAGGTTCTGCGAGGTGCTTTGAGGTGCTGGGTGTGTTGCTATGTGTATACCTTTCCTCCCACCCTCACCTTCTTACCAGCCCCAGACCCCCAAGTCCCTCTGTCCTTCTCTCCCCCGCCTCTCAATTTCCCAACCTTCCGCCCCTCAGGTTCGTCAACCGCCACCCTCGCCCATGCCACATCCGGCAGCGCCGAGCCTGCAGGGTCGGGCACGGAGCTTTCAGGCATGGGCGGGGATCAGGGGCGCAGAGACATGACGGGCAGAGATAGAATGGATGGCAGTGCAGGGATGGTGCTCCCACCCCACCCACCCACCCCGCATGGCTGGGAGGCACGAGCTATGCGTCTGCAGCAGCACCTTCACTTCGAACCTCCCTCCTCCTTTGGTGAGTTCCTTTCCCCGTCTCCCGCCTTCTCCCCTCTCTCCTCTCCCTCTCTTCTCCCTCACTCCCTTCTCACCTCGCTGCCTTGCCCCAACTTTCTCCTTCCGCACGCACCTTTTCCTCCCTCCCTCTGGCAGCAGCAATATCGGCATGCTTACACAAAACCCTCTTTTCTCGGGTTTCCAAGGCTGTCAGGGTTCCAATGTGCTCATCTGCCCCATGTGCCCCATGTGCCCCATGTGCCCCATGTCTATGATGGATTATACGCTTTGGAGCTTACGCGTTTAGCGTTTATACGCTAGCGTGTACACGCTAAACGCTTAACGCTAGCGAAAACGCTATACGCAGCCCAGATTTTTTTCGGGGCTGCCCGCCTACCCAAATTTTTACGAATAGCTCAAAAGCAGCGGAATTGCACTACGAGCAATTCTGTGAACTCAGATTGCACGTCGAGTGTCTGTCGTGGCTGGAAATTGGATTCGTGACCTGGAGTCGCGTTTATCACCTTCACATTTTGCACGTTCAGAATTGCATGGTCAAGTATGTCGAGTCGCGCAAGCACGTTGCCACAATTCAATCACTCCGCTTCACCGCATTCAAACACACATCATCTATCCAGTCCAACCACTCGTGTCCTCATCCCCGTCACCCAGCATGCTATTAAGCCACTCGTCAAAATGTCAATCTCATTCGGTTCTCTACTCCCGCTAGCTAGTCAGCATAGCACGCTCCTACGAGTATGACCTCCTCTTCATCTCCCACGTCGCCTTCCGTCCAGACTGTGGAGAGTGCGAGGGATCCTCCGGCTGCGTCACGGGAATACCTTCCCGATGTAGAACACCCAGTGTTTAAGCACTTCAGGCTCATTAAGCGGGAGGAGGGCAAGGCACAGCAGTACGAGTGCAAATACTGCCTCCTTGTCTTCTCTGGTGCCGCCATCCGTTGCGCTCAACACCTGACGTCATGGAAGACCATGAAGCGCCGGGAGGTGACACTTTGCAAGAATGCCCCGGCTGATGTTCGGGTCGCGATGAAGTCCAAGTACGAGAAGCAGGCCGCAAATTCAGAGGAGAGGCGGAGATCGACTGAGGCTGCGATTGCCTCGGTGACACCAGGTGGGAAGCGGTCCCGCATAACCGACTATCTTGCGGGCGACGCTGCGTCGGCAAGACGCGAAGCACATCAGTCGCTTGCGCTGATGTTTGCGGGATGTCACATCCCGGAGCAGATCGTCGACCATCCTCTCTTCGTCAACGCAATCAGAGACGTCGCCCGCGCCGGCGAAAACTATGTTCCACCAGGCCGGAAGTACATCGGCGGTAGCGGTCTTCAAGCATGCTGTCGTGGCATCGAAAGCGGGTTGGTGGGCATCAAAGCAAGCTGGAAAAAGGTTGGCGTAACTGTCGCGTCAGACATGATGACGGACAGAAACGGGAGGCCGCAGGCAAATGTCTTCCTCGTTAACGACGCGGGCGCCGTGTTGCATGTGTGCGTGGACTGCAACATGGAGAAGAAGACAGGGGGATACATTGCGGGGTTACTAAAGCCTGTGGTGGAGGAGGTGGGGGCGGAGAACATCGTCGCTTTTTGTATGGACGGCGGCTCCAATTACGCGGTTGCGTGCCAGACCTTGGTTGCAGAATGGCCCCACATTCAGATTGTCCCTTGTGCGACCCACGTCCTAGATCTCCTCATGGAGGATGTGGGGAAGCTTGGGTGGGCGAAAGGGGTGGTGGATCGGGCTGGGGAAATGAGTTCCTTCGTCCGCAACCACCACTGGACGCGGGGGTACTTGCGGAACCCGGAGCTGGTGGAGGGGACCGTGATGCAGGCGTTGAAGCCAGCGGGAACACGCTTCGGGACACAGTATATTACTGTTTCCCGCCTGTGTGCCCTTCGTAATTCCCTTACCCAGATGGTGCTCTCCGACCTGTGGAAAGATTGGGCGGTGGGGGATCGAAAGAAAGCAGCGGAGGGGTTTGCCGCGCAGGTACTCGATGCGGCCTGGTGGAAGACCGCCGAGTTCTTCACGAAGCTCATGAAGCTCCCCTTCATCGCGATGCGGCAGACGGATGGGAGCGCAAAGGGGATGATGGGGCGAATGTACGACATAATGCTCCAACTTACCGAGGATGTGGAGGCCCTTGTCGACGCGGATGAGGAGCAGTTATCCAGCACCGACAAGCAGCAGATCCGCCGCATCCTGAAAAACAGGTGGGATGGGAGTCTTGCATGCACCATGCACGTGGCGGGACGCATCCTCAACCCCGCCAACCAAGAGGAGGACATCTTCGGCGGGGATGCGGAATGCACAAGGGTGTTCAAGGCTTTCCTCTCCAAACATGCGGAGTTCCTCACCGTGCGGGAGAAGGAGGGGGGTGATGAGTGCGACTATTTGCTCGCATTGGGGGACCAGCTGAGGTCTTTCCTTGACCTCAAAGGGAGTTTCGGGATGCCTGTAGCCATTTCACAGAGGGAGAAGGTAAAGGCGGGCACTTACAGCATGGTTAAGTGGTGGCAGTGGAACGGGACGGATGCGCCGCAGCTGTCGTCGCTTGCCGTAAAGGTTCTCTCGCAGCCCGTCTCAGCATCTCCGTGTGAGCGTGGATGGGCGAAGTGGGAATCAGTCCACACTGCGCGACGGAACCGCCTCGGATCCGCTAAATGCTCGGATTTAGTGTACGTCACGCACAACTGGAACGTTGTGCGCGGATGGCACACGCGCCATGATGTGATGCCATCAGTTGTGCGCGGGAATGAGGTGGAGCCGCCCATCCCCGCTGGCTACAAAGTCGCGGATGATATGGAGGAGGAGGAAGGTGAGGACGAGGTCTTGGCGGACGAGTATGAGTAGTAGAAAGGGAACCCAGGTCAAGAAGGGGGTAAATGGTGGTGATAGGTAGAGTAGACTATGTAGTAGCGAGGCACATTGATGCTCTATCTATGGCCGTGTGGAAATTTTTGTATGTGGGAAAAAATTCTGCAGAAACACATCCCACCAGAACCCCCCCTTGCTGCACTCCTGGTAGGTTTTTTTGCGCTGCCCAGGAAAGTTTTTTAGCTGCCCAGAAAAGCGTATCCTGGATCAGACCCCTCTCGCGTTTAGCGTATATACACTAGCGTATATACGATACGCGTATATACGCTAAACGCGTATAATCCATCATAGCCCCATGTGCCCCATGTGCCCCATCTGCCCCATCTGCCCCATGTGCCCCATCTGCCCCATGTGCCCCATGTGCCCCATGTGCCCCATGTGCGCCATGTGCCCCATGTGCCCCATGTGCCCCATGTGCCCCGTGTGCCCCGTGTGCCCCGTGTGCCCCGTGTGCCCCGTGTGCCCCATGTGCCCCGTGTGCCCCATGTGCCCCATGTGCCCCATGTGCCCCATGTGCCCCATGTGCCCCATGTGCCCCATGTGCCCCATGTGCCCCATGTGCCCCATGTGCCACATGTGCGCCATGTGCGCCATGTGCCCCGTGTGCCCCGTGTGCCCTGTGTGCCCCGTGTGCCCCGTGTGCCCCATGTGCCCCGTGTGCCCCATGTGCCCCATGTGCCCCATGTGCCCCATGTGCCCCATGTGCCCCATGTGCCCCATGTGCCCCATGCGCCCCATGTGCCCCATGTGCCACATGTGCGCCATGTGCGCCATGTGCCCCGTGTGCCCCGTGTGCCCCGTGTGCCCCGTGTGCCCCATGTGCCCCATGTGCCCCGTGTGCCCCATGTGCCCCATGTGCCCCGTGTGCCCCATGTGCCCCATGTGCCCCATGTGCCCCATGTGCCCCATGTGCCCCATGTGCCCCATGTGCCCCATGTGCCACATGTGCGCCATGTGCGCCATGTGCCCCGTGTGCCCCGTGTGCCCCGTGTGCCCCGTGTGCCCCGTGTGCCCCATGTGCCCCGTGTGCCCCATGTGCCCCATGTGCCCCATGTGCCCCATGTGCCCCATGTGCCCCATGTGCCCCATGTGCCCCATGTGCCCCATGTGCCCCATGTGCCCCATGTGCCCCATGTGCCCCATGTGCCCCATGTGCCCCATGTGCCCCATGTGCCCCATGTGCCCCATGTGCCCCATGTGCCCCATGTGCCCCATGTGCCCCATGTGCCCCATGTGCCCCATGTGCCCCATGTGCCCCATGTGCCCCATGTGCCCCATGTGCCCCATGTGCCCCATGTGCCCCATGTGCCCCGTGTGCGCCATGTGCCCCATGTGCCCCATGTGCCCCGTGTGCCCCATGTGCCACATGTGCGCCATGTGCGCCATGTGCCCCATGTGCCCCATGTGCCCCATGTGCCCCATGTGCCCCATGTGCCCCATGTGCCCCATGTGCCCCATGTGCCCCATGTGCCCCATGTGCCCCATGTGCCCCATGTGCCCCATGTGCGCCATGTGCGCCATGTGCCCCATGTGCCCCATGTGCCCCATGTGCCCCGTGTGCCCCGTGTGCCCCATGTGCCCCGTGTGCCCCATGTGCCCCATGTGCCCCATGTGCCCCATGTGCCCCATGTGCCCCATGTGCCCCATGTGCCCCGTGTGCCCAATGTGCCCAATGTGCCCCATGTGCCCCATGTGCCCCATGTGCCCCACGTGCCCAATGTGCCCCATGTGCCCCATGTGCCCCATGTGCCCCACGTGCCCCATGCGCCCCATGTGCCCAATGTGCCCCATGTGCCCCGTGTGCCCAATGTGCCCCATGTGCCCCATGTGCCCCATGTGCCCCGTGTTTGCCCCATGTGCCCCGTGTGCCCCATGTGCCCCATGTGCCCCATGTGCCCCATGTGCCCCATGTGCCCCATGTGCCCCATGTGCCCCATGTGCCCCGTGTGCCCAATGTGCCCCATGTGCCCCATGTGCCCCATGTGCCCCGTGTTTGCCCCATGTGCCCCGTGTGCCCCATGTGCCCCATGTGCCCCATGTGCCCCATGTGCCCCATGTGCCCCATGTGCCCCTTGTGCCCCGTGTGCCCAATGTGCCCCATGTGCCCCATGTGCCCCATGTGCCCCATGTGCCCCGTGTTTGCCCCATGTGCCCCGTGTGCCCCATGTGCCCCATGTGCCCCATGTGCCCCGTGTGCCCCATGTGCCCCATGTGCCCCGTGTGCCCCATGTGCCCCATGTGCCCCATGTGCCCAATGTGCCCCATGTGCCCCATGTGCCCCATGTGCCCCATGTGCCCCATGTGCCCCATGTGCCCCATGTGCCCCGTGTTTGCCCCATGTGCCCCGTGTGCCCCATGTGCCCCATGTGCCCCATGTGCCCCATGTGCCCCATGTGCCCCATGTGCCCCATGTGCCCCATGTGCCCCATGTGCCCCGTGTGCCCCATGTGCCCCATGTGCCCCATGTGCCCCGTGTGCCCCGTGTGCCCCCTGTGCCCCGTGTGCCCCATGTGCCCCATGTGCCCCATGTGCCCCATGTGCCCCATGTGCCCCATGTGCCCCATGTGCCCCATGTGCCCCATGTGCCCCATGTGCCCCATGTGCCCCATGTGCCCCATGTGCCCCATGTGCCCCATGTGCCCCATGTGCCCCACGTGCCCAATGTGCCCCATGTGCCCCATGTGCCCCATGTGCCCCATGTGCCCCATGCGCCCCATGTGCCCAATGTGCCCCATGTGCCCCGTGTGCCCAATGTGCCCCATGTGCCCCATGTGCCCCATGTGCCCCGTGTTTGCCCCATGTGCCCCGTGTGCCCCATGTGCCCCATGTGCCCCATGTGCCCCATGTGCCCCATGTGCCCCATGTGCCCCATGTGCCCCATGTGCCCCTTGTGCCCCGTGTGCCCAATGTGCCCCATGTGCCCCATGTGCCCCATGTGCCCCATGTGCCCCGTGTTTGCCCCATGTGCCCCGTGTGCCCCATGTGCCCCATGTGCCCCATGTGCCCCATGTGCCCCATGTGCCCCATGTGCCCCATGTGCCCCATGTGCCCCATGTGCCCCATGTGCCCCATGTGCCCCGTGTGCCCCATGTGCCCCATGTGCCCCATGTGCCCCGTGTGCCCCGTGTGCCCCCTGTGCCCCGTTTGCCCCATGTGCCCCATGTGCCCCATGTGCCCCATGTGCCCCATGTGCCCCATGTGCCCCATGTGCCCCATGTGCCCCATGTGCCCCATGTGCCCCATGTGCCCCATGTGCCCCATGTGCCCCATGTGCCCCATGTGCCCCATGTGCCCCATGTGCCCCATGTGCCCCGTGTGCCCCATGTGCCCCATGTGCCCCGTGTGCCCCATGTGCCCCATGTGCCCCATGTGCCCCATGTGCCCCATGTGCCCCATGTGCCCCATGTGCCCCATGTGCCCCATGTGCCCCATGTGCCCCATGTGCCCAATGTGCCCCATGTGCCCCATGTGCCCCATGCGCCCCATGTGCCCAATGTGCCCCATGTGCCCCATGTGCCTCTCCCCTGCCTCCACAGCCGTGTTCGCAGGCAGCTTGTCCCGACGCGTGCAGGGGAAGGAGCAGGGCGAGGGTGTGGAAGGGCGGGGAGGGCGGCTGCTCAAGGGTGGCTTCGCTGGCATTCGAACGATCGAGGTGAGTGTCACATGTGGATGGTACGTAAAGGGGAGAGAGGGTGTGGGCCTGTGGGGAGGGCAGGGAGGGCGGCTGTGGTGGGCCATTCGGTTCAGACGAACCATTGAGCCGCGTTTTGGAGGGGAATCCGAAATAAAAAAGAAGAAAAAGGCTCACCTGCAACCCACCCACCCACTCGCTTGCGTTTCCCACCACTTCCTCCACCCACCACTGTGTCACCTGCTCCCACCACCCAGTACGGCATCAATGCCCCGTGTTTGACGTAGTGTTTTGAGATGTCTCAAAACACATCTCCGCTCGGGTTCCAGGGCTTCCCATCCACGAGCAGCCTGGAGCATCTCCTCGCTGCTGCTGCCGCTGCCTCTGCTCGTGCCATCATCTCACTCTCTTGCTTCTCTCCTCCACCTAACCCCTCCTCTCCCACTTCCTTCCACCTCCTCACCCTCTCTCCCAGGCGCATGCAGCGTGCCGCCACGACCTGGAGCCATTCTCCTCACTGCTGCTGCACCGTCTCAACCTCGCTCTTCTCTCCACCGCCTATCCGACTTGGGTGTGCCCACTTCCACCCACCCACTCTGCCCCTCCCAGGCGCATGCAGTGTGCCGCCACGACCTGGTGCCATTTGCCTCACTACACCTGCTCGTGCGTGGTGACGGCCGCACCTACCTCTCCACCGTACGCCCTCCCTTTCCCACCTTCCCCTCCCCCTCCCCCTCCCCCTTCCCCTCCCCCTCCCCCTCCCCCTCCCATTTCCGCTCCCCATGCCCCCTCCCCTTCCCATCCCCCTCCCCCTCCCCCTCCTTCTCCCTCTCCCCCTCCTCGTCCCCCTTCTAGCCCAGTCGCACCTACCTATCCCCAGTATCCCCTCCCGCTCTCTGCATTCTCATGCTGCACTGCACCACTCTGCATCTCTCTGCCCTGCTCTCATCTTGCTTTTGAGACCTATTACTCATTCCTTTGCACTTTCCGGGTTGCTCTCACATCCTTTTCTCGTCTCGCCGGCCCTTTCCTTTTCTGTTTGTCAGATAGAAGAGAACGTTCACAGATACCTTTTGAGGTGCCTCAAAAGTCCTTCCATGAGTGTGATGAGAACGTTCACAAATACCTTTGTTCGCAGACGTCACCTTCACTTTCTCCTCTCTCTTGCTTTCTGTCCCCCTCCCCTTTCATCTGCCCTCTTCCCCCCTTCTCCCCACTCTGTCAGGCTTACACGTCCTTACCTCTTTCCCTTCTCTCCCCTCTTTTTCTCCTCTCCCTCCCTCTCAGCTGCGCACTGAGAGGTGAGTGGGGGGGCCAGCAGGCAGCAAGGAGAACACATGGCAGGGTGGGGATGTTGCAACCTTATAGCTCTCTCTCTCTCCGCCCCTCTCCCCCTCTCTGCCCTGTCCTCCCTGCTCCTCACGTCTCCTCCCTTCTCCTGCCCTACTTCTCCCCTCTCCCTATCAGCTGCGCACAGAGGGGTGGGTGGGCGGGCCAGCAGGCAGTGAGGAGAACACCTGGCAGGCGTTCCTGCCCTCGCCTCGAGGGCGGTGGGGAGTGGTGCAGGTGAGAGGAGAAGGGGTGAAGAGTGGTGTAGGTGATAGTCAGGATCCGATCGCTCCCCGCGCAGAGGGCTGTAGTTTCTTACACGCATCTCAAGGGCAGGCAGTGAGGAGAACACCTGACGTGGAAGGTCAGGGTGGCGAGGAGAAGCGTCAAGAGGGCTGCTCAATCAAGGGCTGCTCAATCAACCTCTTCTCTCTCTCCCGCCTTCCTCCCCTGATTCATGATGTTTCGTTTCCCCCTCCCCCCTTCCCTCCTCCTCCTCCCCTCCGCTCCTGACCTGGAAAGGCAGGGTGATGGGGTAGGGCGTCAGGTATTTCTATCCATCCCCCTCTTCCCTTCTCCCCCCACTCACAGATTCCCCTGGCCAGTTACCGCCTTACATGGAAGGGCAGGGTGGTGGGGTAATGCATAAAATATTTCTCTCCTTCCCCCTCTTTCCATCCTTTCCTCGCCCCTCTCCCTCCCTTCACACAGATTCCTCCTGCCAGCTACCGCCTTACATGGAGGGCAGGGTGGTGGGTGGCGGTGGGGGGAGAGAGCGAGGTGGAAGGGGAGAGTATATCAGCAGTGGTGGTGGAGAGATGCAGATGCATGCGAGGAGGGTGATGGGCATGGGAATATCAGTCAACGTCAGCACCCCTCCCCACTCCCCTCAACCACCTCAACCTCCCTCCCATAACCAATGATCATTCCCCACTTCCCCCACACTCCCCTCACCGCTTCTCCCCCTCCCCCAGATCCCTCTGTCCAGCTACCGCCTTACATGGAAAGGCAGGGTGGTGGGCGGCGGCGGGGGGAGAGAGAGAGGAAGAGAGGGGGGAGGGGGCAGTGGTGGTGGAGGGATGCAGATGAATGCGAGGCGGGTGGTGGGCATGGGGATATCAGTCAACGTCAGCACCCCTCCCATGCACTCTCCGCATCTCAGTGCCACTGCCCCGCTCACACATCCTCCTCACATTGCTGCAGCCACACCTGGTGGTGTTACTGCTGCTGCGGGCGGTGATTTTTGTCCTGATGCTGCTGACGCGGAGTCTGACGCATTTCCAGTGCATGGCGAGGGCGCGTTTAGACTGGAGGTAGTGTGGGTCAAGGCTGTCAGGGATGGTGCTTGATGCGATTGGGATGGTGCTCAGGGCAGGCCCCCAGAAGTCAGAGAAATTTCTCTGATTTGCCTAAAAAAATCTGATATTTTCAGCCTTTTTTTTTTGGTAAACTCTGAAATGAGTTTTTTTTTGCCGTGAACTCTGAATATTCATTAAAAAAAAAAAAAAAATGTAGGCCTTGTCTGTTTTTCCAGCCTTTTTCTCAGGGTGTAGTCTGATCCATGAGCGTTTTAGCGGGTACGGTACCTACTCTGGTATTCCTGTGCGAAATCTGCACTGACAGCCGCGATGAAAGCTGCAAGTACAGTTCTGTCCTGTCAGTCAAGCTGAAACAGTGACAGAAGTGTCACGCGGCGCAATCACCACCTCGTTTTAGGCTGATCCATCTGTCAAACTATTTGTTTGTGTTCTCTCTAGGCTATAGTGGGTTAGCCTACAAAGGGTACAACACTTTAGGGTTAGTACTTGTACCCAACTCATTCATAGTTCATTCATTCCTGCACAGTTATTCTGACATGATATTCAGAGCAGGAAACCTGTTAAGTTTTTAGGGCCCACCGATAGTTTTGCTAGTTCCTGCCCGAAGCGCCCTTGCGTTGTCCGGCCCTCTCGCACAGTGTCACGCTGCCCTGCAGCTACTCGCACTGCCTGCCCTAGCACGCTGCCCTACCGTCACGCGCGCCCCTGCTGCCCGAGAGCAGCCCCTGCCCCGCGCGCCCCTGCTGCTTGCGAGCAGCCCCTGCCCCGCGCTCCACTGCTGCCTGTGAGCAGCCCCTGCCCCGAGCGCCCCTGCTGCCCGCGAGCAGCCCCTGCCCTGCGCGCCCCTTCTGCCCGCGAGCAGCTCCTGCCCCAGCGCGCCCCGTCTGCAGGGTTGCATCTGCAGGGTTCGCGCCCTACTGCCTTGCGCGTTGCGCCCTGCTGCAGCCCGCGCATCACGCTCTGCTGCCCCGCGCGTCGCGCCCTGCTGCAGCCCGCACGTCGCGCCCTGCTGCTCCGCGCGTCGCGCCCTGCTGCAGCTCGCGCATCGCGCTCTGCTGCCCCGCGCGTCGCACCCTGCTGCAGCCCGCGCGTCGCGCCCTGCTGCCCTGCGCGTCGCGCCCTGCTGCAGCCCGCGCGTCGCGCCCTGCTGCCCTGCGCATCGCGCCCTGCTGCAGCCCGCGCTTCGCTCCCTGCTGCCCTGCACATCGTGCGCCCTGCTGCCCGCGCCGCCCAGCCCGAGCCGCTCTCCTGCTACTACTGCTGCTGCGGCTGCTCGTGCTACTGCTGCTGCTGGTGGAGGTGCTGCTGGGAGTGCTGGAGGTGCCGCCGACCAGCCCCACCGAGCCGCCCTGCTGCTACTACTGCTGCTGCTGCTGCTCGTGCTACTGCTGCTGCTGGTGGAGGTGCTGCTGGGAGTGCTGGAGGTGCTGCTGGTGCTGGAGATGCTGGAGGTGCGGCTGGGAGTACTGGAGGTGCTGCTGGAGCTAGAGGTGCTGGACCTACTACTGACCGTCACTGCGTCTGGTCTGGTTGTTGACGACTACACACGCTACACCACTGTCTTCCCCTTGCGACGCAAGGCGGACGTCAGCGGTGTTTTGATCCCTTGGATCCGTGCTACTCGTTGCCAGCTGCGCGAGCAGTTTCGTCGTTACTTCCCAATCCTGGGTCTGCACTATGACAGGGGTGGTGAGTTCTCTTCTGACCTCCTTGCGGAATTCTGTCGAGACGAAGGCATCCGCCAATCGTTCACGCTTCCGGCCTCTCCTCAGCAAAAGGGGATTGTTGAGCGTCGCATTGGCTTGATCATGGAGGTTGCTCGTACCTCCATGATCCATGCGGCTGCTCCCCATTTTCTGTGGTCGTTTGCGGTCCGATACGCTGCGCATCAGCTCAACCTCTGGCCCCGTGTCTCTGAGCCAGAGACCTCGCCCACACTCCGGTGGACGGGGAAGGTTGGTGATGCGTCGGTGTTTCGGGTCTGGGGCGCGCTCTCCCTTGTTCGCGATGCCAAAGCGAGCAAGCTCTCCTCTCGCACTCTCCGCTGCGTCTTCCTTGGCTTCCCCACCGACGCCCCGTCGTGGAAGTTCTACCACCCGCGCGAGCGTCGAGCCTTTTCCTCCCAGGACGTCACCTTTGACGAGTCTGTCTATTTCTACAGGCTACACCCGCACGCGTCCCACCCGGTCCCCCTAGCGCCTCTTTTCTTGGTACCACTCCCCCCCCGGTAGACCACCTCCCCCCACAGGGTCCTGCTCCTTCAGGTGTGTCTCAGGTAGATCCACCCCCCTTGGTTGAGCCTTAGGAGATCTCTTCTGACTCCTCTGGCCCAGCTGAGGGGGGTGACCCCGCCGCTGATGACACGGCGGCCACTCACCGCTCTCCACGCTTGGAGACCCCCCCTGGTTTTCCGCCTCGGCCGTCTTCACCGCCTCCGCAGCCTGCTGCTGTGGACTCTGGAGCTGAGACTGCTGGTGCTGAGCCTAGGGGTGCTGAGACAAAGGGTGAGGGTTCTGGGGGTGCTGCGACTGGGGGTGCTGCGACGGGGGATGCTGGTTCTGAGGGTGCTGCGACTGGGGGTGCTGACTCTGGGGGTGCTGAGAGTCCTAGTGGCGGTGGAGCTGTGGGTGACCCTATTGGAGGTCCTGGAGCTGGACAGCCACCGCAGTCTGATCTACTTGAGACGCACCCCCCTTGAATGATCCTTTGGAGATCTCAAGTAAATCAGCCACCGCAGTCTGATCTACTCGCCGCAGGCGATTCGTGCGTGGATCGTTCGGCGAGGCAGTCCTGGTGGTGGAGGGTACGGTCTTGCTAGTGCTGGAGCTGCTAGTCCTTGAGGTACTGCTGGTGCTGGAGGTATTGGAGGTACTGCTGATGTTGGAGGTACTGGAGGTACTGCTGGAGGTGCTGGAGGTGCTGCTGGTGCTGGAGGTACTAGAGGTGCTGCTGGTGCTGGAGGTGCCATAGCTACTAGTCCTAGAGGTGCTACTGGTGCTGGAGGTGCTGGACCTACTAGTCCTGGAGGTACAGCTGGTGCTGGAGGTGCTGGAGGTGCTGCTGGTTCTGGAGGCGCTGGAGATGGAGGTCCTGGAGGTGCTGGAGCTGCTGGTCCTGGAGGTGCTCGTACTGGAGGTGCTGGAGCTGCCGGAGCTGGTGATGCTGTTAGTGCTGGAGGTGCTGGGGGTACTGGAGCTGCTGGCACTGGAGATGCTGGTGCTACTGGTGCTGGAGCTGCGGGTGCTGCTGGTCCTGGAGGTGCTCGTACTAGAGGTACTGGAGCTGCCGGAGCTGGTGGTGCTAGTAGTGCCGGAGGTGCTACTAGAGCTGCTGGCACTGGAGGTGCTGGTGCTGCTGGTGCTGGAGGCGCTGGAGCTGGAGGTACTGGAGGTGGTGGAGGTGCTGGTCGTGGAGGTGCTCGTACCCGAGGTGTTGGAGCTGCCGGAGCAGGTGGTGCTGCTGGTGCTGGAGGTGCCGGAAGTGCTATTGGAGCTGCTGGCACTGGAGGTGCTGGAGGTACTGCTAATGCTGGAGGCGCTGGAGCTGGAGGTACTGGAGGTACAGGAGGTGCTGGAGCTGCTGGTCCTGGAGGTGCTCGTACTAGAGGTGCTGGAGCTGCCGGAGCAGGTGGTGCTGGTGGTGCTGGAGGTGATACTGGAGCTGCTGGCACTTGAGGTGCTGGAGGTACTGCTGGTGCTGGAGGTGATGGCGCTGCCGAAGCTCGTGGTGCTGCTGGTGCTGGAGGTGCTACAAGAGGTGCTGGTACTGGAGCTGCTCATGCTGCTGGTGGTGCAGGAGCTGGAGCTACTTGTACTGCCCTGCGCCGACTATTTTTTTACCCGCACCCGCAGTCGTCCCTGCCGCCGCCTGACTCGGTCCTTCGCTAGGTTCTTAGTCCCCGTCTTCCACTGGTCTCACTCCACCTCTCCTGTGTCCACCGACAGACCAGTCTTAGCCTCAGCTTCTGCCTGGCTCCCCGCTGCCTGCTTCTGCTCCTCACACTGAGGTGACTGAGTCCCTGACTGAGCGTCGTGAGCCTGAGACTCGTGCTTCCACACCTGTTTGTGCTCGTCGTGTCGCTCGTCCTCGTCCTCCTGCTGTCCCAGGCACTCACGATATGGCACTTCGTCCTTCCTGTTCCACAGCGTCTTGTCCTACCTGAGCCTCCCGCCTCCTCTCTTCCGCACGTTCCTGACCCTGAGTCCGACATTGCTCGTGCTGCCAGACCTGTTGTCACTCTTCTCCTCGCTACTATCGTCACTGACCCTGACTTCGAGTCGACTGCTGCGTTTTCCCTAGTCACCGAGCTAGTCGACTTTGCAGCTGGGAGTCGTCTCGACTACGTCGCGAGTCTTGTTACTGAGTCTGAGACTGTCTCTCCTCCGTCCGTCGCGAGTGAGCCTACCCTTAGCAGTGACGTCCTTGAGGACAGGCAGTTTGAGCTTGAGTGTCTTGCGGCCACTTTACCTCGTTTTGCATCCATCCTGCTTTGCCCTAAGGGAGACCCGGATGCACTTGACATCCCTACCCCGCGCTCTTACGCTAAGGCGATCGCGGGTGAGTACTCCTCTCAGTGGCAGACAGCCATGGACGCAGAGATGGCTTCTTGGAAGTCCACAGGCACCTACGTCGACAAGGTTCCTCCTCCTGGGGCGAACATAGTCGATGGCATGTGGATTTTCAGAGTGAAGCGGCCGCCGAGTTCTCCGCCTGCCTTCAAGGCGCGTTACGTTGCTCGAGGCTTCAGTCAGCGACAGGGGTTCGACTTTCTTCCAGACCTTCTCCCCCACCCCGAAGATGACTACTCTTCAGGTGCTGCTGCACATTGCAGCATAGCGTGACTACGAGCTGCACTCCGTCGACTTCTCTACAGGGCAGCCTTCACGAGGAGATCTGGCTGTGCCGCCCACCTGGCTTCACTGGGTCGTTTCCTGCGGGTACCCAGTGGAGCCTCCGGCGGCCAGTCCACGGTCTCCACCAGGCGCCCCGAGAGTGGCACGACACACTGAGGACTACACTTGCGGCTCTTG